AAAGAGTGCAACAAGAAAAAGGACACGTTGAAGGACCCATAAAGACAGATTTTGGGGAGTTCCTTTACAACCTTTACCTGGCTATCATATGATTTTATATTTACATGTATTATAGGCAGAGGAAAAAAAATCAGTCAAATCAGGTCTGGGGATATATTACTGTAACACCAGCTACTCAGGAGGCTGAGTCAGGAGGATTACAAGTTCAAGGCCAGTCAGCGCAGCTTAAGTGAGACCCTGACTGAAAGCAATATAGGGCTGGGGCATAGCTAGCAGAGCCACGTTCAGGTTGGCAGTATCCTGGGCTCTCTGACTCCTTGGAATGGATAGCTTGAGGCAGCTCCAGCGGCAGCTCATGGCAGGTGGACCGCCCACATCGGTAGCCTTAGGCCGGATGGGACTTGTCTGGATGTGGCCATCATCTGTCTGGGTGAGCTCACACCTTCAAAGTCACCGCCCAGGTGACTGCCAAGACACCAGTCCTGCTGTAGTTATGCCTTCTCTCCAGCCCACCACCTAAAGCCTTGACCCAATACTACACATTTTCAAGTCTCTTCTAAGGTTTTCAAGTCTGGCAGATATTTCCTATTTAGAACCTGGCCTCGCCACGCCCCCGGAAACACTTCTTTCAAAAACTTGCTTCTTCTATGGGAACATTTTCTTAGGGTTTCGTTTCCCCAAGAGGAGCTATATTATTGTTGTTGTTATAATTATTAAGCATGGCTCTCTGCCCTCTTTCGAAGTGGCCAGGAAAGGCATGAACATAATTTGGGCTGAAGGTTGAGGTCACCATCTGCTAGCTACTCCGCCCCGGGGTCTGCTCGTCCCTGGACAGCCTTGCCCTCCCTCCCTCCAACGCCCCTCCCAACCCCCCCGGCTGTTCAGACTAGGTGGGCTCTTGGAGGTGTCTGCACCTGCGGCCCCTCCATCCCTCCTAGGCTTAGGAGGAGTGCGACACCGCTGCCTTGTTTCTTGTTTCTGTCCTCCGGAGCTGGCTCTGGCTCGGGGACTCAGACCGCCCTGCCAGCTCAGGCTGATGCCGGGATTGGGTACCGAGGCACCGCCTCCGTCTCTGCGCGCCCGCGCGCTCGCTCCCGCCCTCCTCCCCTCCCAGCCCGCTCGCTCCGGTCTCAGCCGTTTGGGCTCCGCACTGCAGATGTCAACCGGTCTCCCAGAGCTCTGCTGCTCCCGCAGTGAGTCTCTCTGATCCTGTCGTCTCCGGGGTCCGGCTGCGCACTCGCCGCTCGCCCGGGAGCCTCGCGGGCTTGGACTCTCTGAGCCCTGCGTGACGGAGTCGTTCC